AAATAGACAGATTGGTTTTTTACAGAAGTTGGGATAATTTTTCCAACATAATAAGAAGGAAAACAAGATGGGTTCAGAAACTGGTAGTTTTGTCAGTTTGATGGTAGAAAGATGAGGGAGCTATTGCTCCAGGTTTTTATTTTCTCAGTCTCAGGAGTTGATGTCATGCATGAGCAGAAATTGGGAACTCCCAGAATAAAGCAGGCTGATAAACTGAGAATTGGTTACAGATGTTATTAGTATCCTGTTGCTGCTGTAAAAAACCTATTGTAAAGTTAGGGCTTGAAACAACACAAATTTATTATCTTATACTCCAAATTATACTACAAAGCTATAGTAATCAAAACTGTAGGGTACTGGCATAAAAACAGACACACAGATCAATGGAACAGAACAAAGAGGCCAGAAACAAATCCACACTTACATGGTCAATCAATCTATGACAAAGGAAGCAAGAATATACAGTGGGGGAAAGACAGTCTCTTCAATAAATGGTGCTGGGAAAACTGGATAGCTACATGCAAGAGAACAAAACTGGGCCACTTTCTTATACCATACACAAAAATAAACTCAAAAGGGATTAAAGGCCTAAATTTATGACGTGAAACCAAAAGTCCTAAAAGAAAACATAGGCAGCAAATAATACATTATATGTTTAAAAAAAAAAAAAAGATAGTAGGAAGGGAAAAATGAAGGGGGGGAAATCAGAGGGGGAGATGAACCATGAGACACTATGGACTCTGAGAAACAAACTGAGGGTTTAGAGGGTAGGGAGGTGGGGGGATGGGTTAGCCTGGTGTCGGTTATTAAGGAGGGCACATATTGAATGGAGCACTGGGTGTTATACGCAAACAATGAATCATGGAACACTACATCAAAAACTAATGAGGTAATGAATGGTGACTAACATAACATAATAAAATAGAATTAAAAAAAAAAAAAACATAGGCAGCAATCCCCTGGATATCAGTCTTAACAATATTTTCTGGATCTGTCTCCTCAGGCAAGGGAAACACAGTTAAGGAAAACCATCAACAAAATGAAAAGGCAATATACTAAATGGGAGAAGATATTTTGCAAATAATATATCTGAAAAAGGATTAATATCCAAAATATATAAAGAACTCATATAACTCAACACCAAAAAATAAAAAAATCCCATAAATAATCCAATTAAAAAATAGGCAGAGGACCTGAGTAGACACTTTTCCAAAGAAGACATACAGATGGTCTACAGACACATGACAAAATGCTCAACATTACTAATCATCAGGGAAATGCAAATCAAAACCATGAGATATCACCCGACACCAGTCAGAATGGCTTTATCAAAAAGATAAGAACAAATGTTCGCCAGGATGTGGAGAAAAGGAAGCCCTTATGCACTGTTGGTGGGAATGTAAACTGGTTCAGCAACTATGGAAAACAGTATGGAGGGTCATCAAAAAATTAAAAATAGAAATACCATACAACCCAGTAATTCCACTTCTGGATATTTATGCAAAGGAAACAAAAACACTAATTCGAAAAGATATATGCATCTTTTCAGGGAAAAAAGTAAAGTATCAATGTTAATTGAGACTACCAATTTACAGAAATTCATTTTAAAGTATAAGCAGCCAAAGAAGTGATTAAAATCATAACCTCTTTTTGTTTTGATAAGAACAGTTAGTAAACACATTAACATTTAAAGAAATGTTCACATTAATAAAAGGGGAATAGAGAGAGAAGTAGATGTGAAGAAAAATCCTGACATTACAGTTTTACTACATTTATCCTCATTTGGGTAAGAATGACATTCCTGAGACTTCCTGTGATTTCTCAAATTCAATAATATCTACACAAGCTACTTTTTTCCCCCATATAATGATTATATATAAAATAACTGAAAGATATATGTCCATTTCAGAACCTGCATGGAAGTTATTGTGACAAGAAGAGAACAGACTTATTAAGACATGGATGCTGAGTGGTGTACTCTGCTCAAGAGCTAAATAATTCACTCTCACACAGCAGCCTCTCCATCCAAGTAATTCAAATTCCTGCCATTTCAAAATCACCTTCAGGGCTGCTCATGAACTGTTCAAATCTATAATGTTAAATCTACTGTAAGACTTGTGCAGAGGGTATTTTTCTAGAACTACAAATTAAGGAGTTCTGATCCCCATAATCTGTAAGATTTCATTTAAACCTATTTTTTTTTTTATGCACTCCAGAGGAAATAATTGCCCTCACTTTAAGGTTTAAAGTATTCACTGCTTTAAATATGAGTGCAGCAACAAAAAACTGAGAACCTAATTCAAAATCCAAATTCCCAGGCTCCCATCATAGAGCTAATGAATGAGAATTTGTGGGAGCAAGCCTACAGAATCTATAGTTTTAATAAGCTTCCAGGAAGGAAGTCCCATAAAGGACTTTGTGCTGTCATTTGGGACCGCTGAGACATACTCGACATTTTCAGAAATTTGACAAAATTTAACCATTCATTGTTTTTAAACTGAATGTTAACTTTGGGAGAACTCTCAATTTCATCATCAAACTTTATCATGCTAACACTTCAATGATTTTTAAAAATCCAGTGTTATTTTCTGAAGTTCACTTTTTATATATATCCAAATACCAAAACTCATTTTATACTTATAAATTATAAGCAGTTAACACTTTTCAGACAAATAACAGCTTCCAAAGAGTGAAATACCAAAACCATCCCATTCATCCACCAATAATCCCCCAATGACTATATAAAATCCATCTATTTCAGAATACACAAGTTGTATGTGCAATAGCTGAGGGGTATTCATTCAGATGGAAAAATATCATTTAGCTTTATCATAGGCTAGCTGTCACTGTGCCAGTCTACAGTTCATGTATGGTCCTTTAGAGAGACACTAAGTCTCATAAATTGTCAAAAAAGAAAAAAAAAAAAAAAGCTCAGAATCTCTTAAATAATCAAGAATTCCTATGATTCCCATCCTGCTTTTGTTACACCTGACTTACTCCTTTTTAAAAATTTCTTATCATTTCTCTCAGTCTATCTCCCTTTCTCTTATCTCTAAAATCACCTCCCTTAACTTTTATGACATCATTCATCACCTATGCCAATAAATTTAGTATGTGTAGCTTTCAAAGATGAGTCAAATTTCTCATAAGTTACCAAGAAGGTATTAAATTCGGGTGATCTTGAATCCAACTGAAAACAATGTGTAACACTGTGAAGACCTTTTAATTAAGATGAGTTTATTTGGGGCTTTCCAAAGGAAATAACCATCTCTAATCAAATAAGAATGCCTAGGATGGAAAAGGAAAAAATACTAACTCTCAAGAGCCATTTAGTAAACAGCTGAGTAAAAAGCAGAAAATATTGACTATGTTTTAATAAAAGCTTTGAGACAAATTTTGTCTTGAAAGGAAAGCTACTTTAAAAAAATAATTATAAAATACCATTAACTACTATAAAACGCTACCCTGAGAAAATACACTATCTGGCAAAATAATCTGAAATTACATATAAACCAAAAATTTTATATTTAAAATATAAGTGATTATATATAAGGATATGAAAAAGAATTTAGTCTGCTCATTTCATGGATAGATCTTTTCACTGTGACAGTATATTTTTAAATGAACACTTTTTCAACTAGTAAAGATACAAACAGAAGGCTCAAGAAGTCCTTTATAAACTAACGTGACACAGTTCAGTAAAAATACTGTTAGGCTTTCTCACCCATTCACTTAAAATATGACAACAATGAAGAAACACATTTTGGAATACTAAAGCTTGGAACCAGTTAAAACAAAATCCACTAATAATGACAAGTTTGCCAGGTAGTTTGGCCAAAGATCTCTACATAAATTTCTTATATTTATTGATTTTTCTGATAAAGATCTCCTATGAAGAAGAATAAAATGTACTATATGTAAACAGAGGCTACAAGTAAATCAATGCATTGTATATACTGGATGATTATATTTTAATTATTCTTATAATTGCAAAAATTATTTTATTTGCCTATATTTAGTTAAAATTTAAAGTATAAAAACATTAAGAGTAAGGTTTTATAATCTATTTTTTAAATATAAAGCTACTAAATCAAAAACAACAACAAGATAAAAATCAAGTCCTATGAATAAATATTTTAAAAGTAAGTACTCTAGGATCATAACACTGACAACACTAATTATCTTTTCTACTCTTGGCAGTTATGTTGTATACTGTTTGGGTGACTGATGGGATAATTTCACTTCATTTTCTTTCAGTTTATTCTGGACCATGTAGGAGAAGAATATTAAAATAATTAACACCTCTAAACAAAGTACTTGATAAAGTTTTTATTTTAAATAAAACACTTTAAAAAAACCTCAATTAGCTAATACATGATTCTAGAGCAAATAACAACTAAACTTCTATTGCTAAAGGAAAACTTTCACTAAGAATTTCTGATTTTAAAAAATGTCATTCAGTATTAACTATTTTAAGGATTTTTATATATTAAGATCATACACTTTCACAAAAAGTTCATCAGTTTGAGCTAGCATTACCTTAATTATCCTGCTTAATTCCCATATAATATATAAATTCCCATAAAAATATGTCTATATATTTTTATATCATTAAAGATTTTACTCACTAAAAACATTTAATCAGGAATCAAAGCAGTCAGAAACAGGTAAAATGTATGACAAAACAAGTTATTTCAATTCCTTACACCTACAGATACTTTAATTTATTGATAATGGCCTTATAGCCAAAAGAAAACTACAGTATTTAAATTAATATTTAATCTCAAATATAAATCTTTAACAATAGCAAATACATTGTCACTCAACTCGAAAAAGTATAAAAGACATTAATAATCAAATTTTTAATTTGAACATTTTAATAAATTTTAAGTTATACATATAGTTTATGTATGTCTTACATAATTTATAAGTCATATAGCTTATAATAAGGCTACATATTAAAAATAATTAATAAAAAGCATATTCTTTGCCTTGATCACCTGATTTTTTGTTGTTGTTTATAAAATTAATCACAGTTAGCAGGGCAGAAATCGCTTTGAGCTTCATGAATGACATCCAAGAGATGGGAAAGGATTAGTTCTCAGTTGCTGCCAGTTATAGCGCCAGGTGGCTTTTTCTGCAGTGAAGGTGTTACCGATAATCCCATTACACTGGTACTAAATCTTGCAGACATCAAAATTATCACCAAGGTTCCTTTTCATCCCATCCTTTCCAAATGACTGGAAGTCGCTTCACCTGAAAGAAGTCAAATCCACATGCAGCTGCTGTTTTAGCAGGCAGCAAACTCCCTGAGAATGCCAGTCGTGATTCAATTTTGCTGTGCTGGTGGCCCCCTATTCCCTGTCCAATAATACATCTGTTAAAAAATCCTACAGCTACAAATCAAGTTTAATCCTACCAGGGACCTCATGTTGGTCTTGTCTTCCAAAAAGGCAGCAGGTTCTGCTGTCTATCTCTGCTAGCGTCTGGGGAATACCCTTTAAATCCCAGCTCTACTTAGAAGAATAAGCTAAGGATCACAAAACATGACCTCAAAAACCCTGATATGACTATATTCTGACCCAGAGGCATTCATTCTAGGTGAAGATTAGAACTTTGCATAATAAGATTACACAGCAAGTGAATGATATCAAGGGACTATCCATATGCAGCCGCCTGGTTTTCTATAGACAGCCTGTGCTCTGCAATATGCAGTGCAGACGAAAAAGAGCTTGGTCTTTCTAGCTGAAATAAAATAGATTCACATAAATTAGTTGGCCATTTCCAGATTCCTAAATCCCCTATTACATCTTTTATTGACAGCTCCTGTGAGGATAGCACAAATGTTATTCCTTTTTATTCTGTGCTTCTATAACAATCATGCTCTGTAATTGAAATGTACATAGATTATGGCTCAAAATTAACATCTTGTTTGCTGTAATCTTGGATTACAATTGACTGTGTACATAATAAAATTAGGAAATCAATGGATGGATTTATCATCTCCAAGAAACTAGAGGTATTGTTTAAAGAATAGTTTAACATTTTGTGTCAACACTTTAAATGCAGAAGTCACAGAGAAGTCAAAAATTTGAGTAAAAGAATACAACAGGCATCATGCAATATCTACAGAAAAGTTAAATTACATAAAAATTAGCTCATTTCCCTCAAAATTTTAAAGTGTTAAAATTTTCAAAATGTGAAAAATTCAGAGATCTCATGATTTTCTCTCAAAACCATACTTGAGCAAGAAGGTCAATTACACATAAAGTCTCTACTTTTTTTGAAGTGGGTGCAGTAGCAGTATTTTATACACAACACCTTGATCATTTATACTTTAAAATATTTGAATCAATTCAAATCAATTGTAATTCAAGGTTTTATAGTTCTTAACTACATGTTACTTAATGAAGTTCCCTCTCCTTATATTTGAATATATACAAAGCATTTAAAATGTATAGAATCCTAGAGAATTTTATGTTGTTTTTTTTCTTCCAACAAGTTTAAAGCTATATAAGCTCTAAGCAAACTTATACGAAAAGAGAGATATACTTTCACAAAAATACCTATGCAGAAAAATTCTAATGAGGAGTTTTCTATTTAAAAAAAAAGTATTAATATTTGCCATGGGATTCTTATAAAACTAAGCTTCTTGGTATACTTGAAATATGTTTGACAAGTTTGATTTGCCCACAACTGTTGAGGAGTATACTACATCCAATACATTAGCCATTATTTCCTGATCATCACAATATATTTAAGCATATCTATACAATATCTGATAAGTACTCAGGAGTCAGGTGACATAATTATGATTTTGTGTATTAATCAGGCAGATATATGCCAATAGAATCAGTCCCACGAGCTATAAAAAAAACACCTTGTGTAATTTCAATTACATAGCCCATGAATATTCTTTGGTCACTTGAGTAGGATATTACTAGAAAAGTAATGAGGAATGCAAAAAATACACATTTCTGTTATGATATTTATATGTAGTACTTTAGAGCTACCCTGTTCAATAAGGTAGCCATTAGCTACACATGGCTACTGAGCATGTGAAATGTGACTAGTCCAAATTGAGATGTGAGTATAAAATATACACTGGACTTTGAAGACATAGTACAAAAAATACTAAAATATTTTATATTGATTACATGTTGAAAGATAAGATTTTGGATATAATGACTTAAATAAAATACATAAATGACTTGCATTATATTTCTACTGGACAGCACTGCATTAGCAAATCATAAATTTTCAATAATAAATTCCTAAGCTAAATGAAATTGCACAACTAATAAAAAATACTAAAGCAGGCGATTATTTTGGAAAAACAAACATTCCAATGTCAAGTCTGATAGATAAGCTAAGACAAGAACAAAATGCTGTCATTTCAGCCTATATTTCTTATTTCTAGCTTAAGGGTAATGGGGGAGAAGAAGGGACCAACCAAACTGCTGATCATCACATATCAAAAAAGAATGATGTTTTATAGTTACAAAATACTTTAGTCGAATAAACATGGAATTGTACAAAAAATACATCTTGGGCAGCTTCATAAAAGGACTAGTTAGGTCTATATGTCACCACTAATGGAATCCAATAGACAGCAACTTCAGAAAATACATCCGGATCTAGAAAGGGCCACGATTTTTTTCTAAGGTGCTATATAATTATATTCAAAATTTAAAAATACACTAGAAGTAATAACTATAGAGATTTGAAGCATTTAATATATTTCATTAGTTTAGCAAAATAAAAAAGGTCAATTTCATAAATTATTAGAAATCTGCTTTTCCATTAGTCTTTTCATCATATTCATCACTGTAGGTTAAAAAATCCATTAATAAAAAGGGTTTTACAGAAATAAGGAAGACCTAATTTAATTCAAGAAAGTTAAAGGCAGATTTAGTATGACCCGACAATTGATGTCCTACAATTAAAATACAAAGTCTATCTTTGTCACACTGGAATATTAATTCAATATAAACAGTAATATGTGAGGTATTAACTCACTTAAAAGTTGTTTTTTCATTATTATTACTTTATAATATTTATCTAAAAATACTAAGACTAATGATGAAATATGAGTATCAATAAGATGGATAAAATCTAAATCAATTCTTTCTGATCTAGCCATTTCACTTTTTCCTAGCCTTTTAAAAATTATGTAAGTTCTTTCCTTTTCTGGTAGCAAGTATCACACAGACACACAGACACAGAGACACACATAAAAAAAAATAATAACAATAAAAAAACTTTCCAAGCATCAATATATGAGTGTAATGATATTCAGTCTAAGTTAATCCCCAGACATCCAAATTCATGAATAAAAATTCATCAGTTTTAAATACACTGAGCCTATTAAGCAAGAACAAAAGCATATGCACAAAAGAGCTTTTAATATATTTCAAAGCCCACAAGAGCCATGGTCTCATTAAAATTATAAATTACACAAACATGGAATGAAGATTCAAACTGCAGTGCAGCTAAGCAGATTACAGAAAACCCCGCGTTCCATATGATAACACACCATGGCCCTCCCAGATGGGGGCTTGGAACAAAAAGGCCATCACCACAGCTAGGGAAAACCTCCTTGTGATCTCTGGTTTCTGTTCAGCAGATGACAGCCAAATAATATGTTGATTATTCTGTTTGTGCTGCTAAGCTTGTAAGATGGAATAAAAGCGATATGATCTATTGTGAACCCAATGCTAATGTGTTGCTCCACTCATAAATAATATACTGAATTTATTTTGAAACTATCTTTTATCTAAATTTCAGTTTTTAAATGCATGAATTAAAATAAAAGCCAGGATAAAATAATATTTAATTTGATGCTTTAAACTAAAAAATGTAATGACAAGTGAAAAATATCTAAGTGCTTAGTTAAGAGTCAAGTACAATTGCCTTTTTTTAATTTCAGCACTGTGATCAGAGACAAAATACATCTTTAAATAGGCAATTACTCTCATCATGAAATATAAATGCAAAATTAAATAATATAATAATCCTGAAGTTTATAATATCCATTAGTGACAAGATAAAAACTAAAATACCAGAGCATATAAAAACATTTTTCTGCAATATAACAGCACATAATCAGAACATATATCTAAAATATTTCTAAATAAAAATTATCACTGAAAGCCTTATGAATGTTCATAACTTATACACAAATGGATGCTAACAAAAAATCCTACTTAAAATCAAAATAATTAAAAAGAAGATTCTAAAAATAATTTTCAAATATAACATATGTAGAGAACATCTCTTCTTTTTTACAGCTGTAGAGTATTTCATTGTATAGATATGCCATAGTTCATTTAACCACTACTCTACTGATAGACATCCACAAAAGAAATATGCAAACATATTAATCAAGAAATATGTATTAGATGTGTATAGTAATGTTATATGGAAAACCACTCAAATGTCCACTAACAGAATTGATAAAAAAAATAGTTGTGATATGGTCAAATGGAGCAATGAAAATGAACCAACCACAACTACATATGAATTCATACAGATGAATCTCAAGACATAATGCTGAGTAAAGGAAACCAGACATAAAAAAATTCTATTGTACAAATCTATACAATACAAAAACCATATATAGGGGCGCCTGGGTGGCTCAGTCATTAAGCGTCTGCCTTCAGCTCAGGTCATGATCCCAGGGTCCTGGGATCGAGCCCCGCATCGGGCTCCCCGCTCCGCGGGAAGCCTGCTTCTCCTTCTCCCACTCCCCCTGCTTGTGTTCCCTCTCTTGCTGTGTCTTTATCAAATAAATAAAATCTTTAAAAAAAAAAAAAAAACCATGTATAATGTTCTTTTCTTTATCTGGGGGCTGGTTACATGGGTGTATTTGGTTTCTAGGAAATTCATTGAGCCATCTATTTTTAGTATGTACACTTCTCTGTATACATAGCTTTAAAAAGGCAGTTTTACACACAAATAAATAGTATACAAAGGTAGTCAAAATCCTTGTCAAAGGAAATTTAGAAACTGACAAATATAAAATCTAAAGCATTCTTATACTGCTTATTTGAATATTCAAATTTTCAACTCAATAGCTGAGACAAATTCCTGGACTCTTTTAAAAAGAAGAGCAAAAGCCACTCACCCTATGATCTTCTCCCACCTCCCAACCTCTAATATCATATTTTCAGAGGTATCTGGCCTTTCTGTGAGGAGCTGCTGCTGCTACTGCTGCTATAATAACAGAGCTAAAGTAATCTCAGGACTGAACATTTGCCCTTATGTGAGAAAATAAAGCAACACAGAGGACAAGGCAGTATAAAGAATACATGTTTGCTGTTTTCCCTCTTGCCTTCAAATTTCATAAACTTTTATTTGTTAATTATGAAAGCTCATTACCTAATTTATAGGAATCTCTTGAAAACTTCCATTTTACTTGTCAATTAAGTTAAAGAAAATACAATTCT